ACACGATGCAACCCATAGATCGTCGATGCGAGTCTCCCATTCCAGTCAACAGGTTCGCCAGGCGTACAAAGGCTTCGGACAGGCATCCCTCTCGATGGCAAAAGGATTTGCAGTGGTACTACTAATTGGGTGCGTCGCTCCGCGAAAATAACTTCTGTTTTGCTTTATTTCAGTGCGGAGCCGTGTACTCGGGCGTTGACTGCTTTGTAGAGCGTGCCAGAGGATCTCATGATCTCAACAACTCTATTTATGCTGGTTGTCTCACTGGTGCCGCTCTAGCTTACAAAGGAGGGCCTCAGGCTATGGCAATGGGCTGTGCTGGTTTTGCCGCTTTTTCTATCGTTATCGATTCCTTCATGTCCACTGGCGATAAAGATGTCCATAAATGGTGAATGTATAGTTGAAATATCCCTACTGTTTCTGTGCAATATTATCACATTCTGTTTCTCAATTTTGTCCATTTGCGTTTCCCCAACGATCAACCAACGCGACCATTATAGCAACCATAACAAATTAGGGCTTGGTAAAATTGGCAATGGAAAAACACGCCAGATAACAATACTAGGAAGTGGCACCCATGCAGAGGCGTCGCCCCGTTCGAAGCAAGTCTCATGAATCGATATGTCACTGGTCTAAGTCCTCATCCAGCTGCGTGTCGAATGCAGCTCAGTATTACCAGTAGAGACATCATCCCTACGGACTCCCCCGAAAGCCGACTGTATCATCTGAACAGAGGATTGCCTCGTGGTGTCGTGAACTGGTGATTACACTATTCGATGATTGACTGCTCCGCGAGGTTCGAGGCTTCCGGCTCTGAATACTAGCGATCTGGTGAGGCCAGGGTGCTGGTGAACTAACCTTAATTGCTCTAGTGCGGTGGAAGTCTCGAGCAATAGCCATGGCCTGGTCCATGCACCCGCATACCTCTGCCATACGCAGTAGTTGTTGTACCGTAGCACTCTTGAGTCTAGCGATGCTGTTACATACCTTACAGTACGAACGACAACGATGAGATCTGAGGGTGGCCAGAGGCTCCTACGGCCCGGAGACCAGGGTTGTTGCGAAGACTCTGAGAGAGTATAGCCTTTAAACGACTCCTGCCAGCCTCCCCGAGTCGAATCTTGGGGGGCTCAGTCGGCTACATGAAAAATCTGGATAGACACCCCGAGATGGACTAGATAGTACCTCGTCTGCGATCAAGTTTTCGGCCCAGGAGGGAAGCTTCCGAGACGGGGATCCTTGACGGCGGCCCTACAATAACCCCTTAGCAGTGCACGTGGAAAAGTTCCCTACCATTTCCGGCTTAGTCTTGGTCCTCCTGGTTGACGGTACTCGATAGTGCATTCGGGGGGATCCTGTCAAGCCTTCCCACGAGGTAGACTTGGGCACACCGCCGACTGAGTTGGACTCGCGATGGACTGAACAAATCATTACAGAGTACCATCATAGCGAGCTAAATCGCATCCTACTGGGGAGGCCGAAAACACATGACGGCTGATCAAGTCGATTCGAAGCATCCCGGCCTTGCGCTGAGAGTAGGGAGCTCTGCTACCTAGCAGCAAATCTTATGTTTTACCGAATGCTTCATTGAGTGCATCCAAGACCGCATCGTGTGACGTAGGAGAGCTATATCCTAACGATTCATCTTCAAATATGCGGTTGTGATGGTTATGTGGTAACGACAGAGACACCTGAGGGCATCCGATAGCACACTGCATATGCAGTGGCGATAGTGCTCACCTGTTTCGGAGAATCCGTCCTGGGCTCGCCAAATCGGGAGAAGCGGATGTACTCGGGTTTGCGACGGGCTCGATCCCTTTTGGAGACGGCAGAGTGAGTATGCCTTAGGCCACCAGCAAAGGCAGGACTGCATACCGTTTCGTCCCCCGATAGCGTCCGTTGTCGCTTACTATCTGGCATGGGATTTAGGTAAGTGATAGATTAGGGAGTTCATCTCAGATGTCACTACTATCGCTCTTATCACTACCGATACCATCCCTATTATCTTCACTACTACTACTACTACTACTACTACTACTATTACTACTACTATTACTTGGTTCAATAGTATATGATAGTGGATGTTCCGTGGATGGCGATGATGATGATGATGATGATGATGATGATGTACCTGATCATTTGCGCCATACTAGCGATAAAAATTAGGTAGAAAGTCCACAGCCGCGGCTCGAACTTGCGGTCAGCGGGTACTGGAGGATACGAGTAACCTATTCCCCACTCGAGTAATGTTCCATGTTCTGAATCGATTGTAGTGTGGTAAGAGCAGCTAAAGCGGCGTTGGGTCTGAATGCGGACTCATAATGGGCAAAATATTGTCGTGAGATGCTCACCGTGCAGATCCCCAACCATCATAGTTCATTTCGAAAGCATTAGGTACACGAGACATATACAGTAGCAGGATGGTGGTTCAACGATGACGTCATTGTGAGTTTGCGCCAACAACCGCGCTCGCCATTGTGATCGATATCACAGGCTTTTTGTTTCGACAATCCCCTCGTTCATGCTCAGTCTGACCGTTTCAGGGTTGGCCGGTTGGTATCAGTGCCTATCAATAGCAATAGACGCGAGTGCGAGGCGCTCCAGCTAGTGTGTATTATCGAAAAGAATGATTTGGGTTTTTCTAGTGTCTACATGGAATATGAAGGTGGAGGACGGAGATCGTCATCGTAAAGGGAGGCCACAGTTGAGATGGCTTCATCTTATAGTCGTGCACTTACAGAGGTCTATAGCACACGAGTATATGGGCTCAAATGATGACTCATAACAAGGTGCGGTGATGTCACTGAGAAGTCGTATGACTATCGACCCGTGGGCCACTAAGGGACTCTTGTGGGTGGATGTTTATGACTGGGCTGG